ATTCTGTAAGATAACTCATTGGTGAGAACTTTTTTTATTCAAATTTGTTGTGAGAAAAAATACTGTAACAAATTAGATCATAATTTCAAATGCGTAAACTAAACAAGTCTTTTTTCTCCCCTTCCATCTGTGCCTTTTTCTCTCCCTCTCCATCTCTAGTATATTATCTTATCGCTGACGCATTCTTCGTTGCTACTAAGCTTCGTACCGGCCTCCCTTCCTCATCAACATGGTCACCGCCTTGCCAACAAGGAGATTCATGCGGGACACACGTAGGTTGCAAGATCTTGTGGAGATCTTTGTCGCTTGGAGAAAAACTGAAGATTCTGGCAAGCAACTCTGCCGGATCTAATGCATGCAACCTCATACAATCCTAATGTGATGATCTCGTCATGTTGATATTGGCAGAAATTGACCGATCAACTGACGGATCACGAGAACTCCTTGCATTCACCTTCTTACAATGTTGTTCAGTTCACGATCTCCACCATGAAGTGCCGGCGTCGAGGGAGGAACAAGAAGCGGAGGAGATAGTCTCAAATCTGAGCTTCCCCGCGTTTTTTGATGGATGGATTTTTCTTTTGGATTTTGTGAAATTGTTTTGTGATTTTTCATATACTTCTTATGATGTCGATGGATTTCATTATTTTTTTATGCATTATGACGTCAGCTCCGCCACTGGTGTGGTGGTTATTGGCGGATACTAATAGGAATTCGACCGGCATTCCGGATATAAATCGGTATCACAGTATATATCGACTGGTATCTAAGACAGATACCAGTATCACAACCGGATAACGGCTGGCATCTTAAAGGTATGTTTGGCACTTCAAATTTAATGCGATGTTGTGACTGTGGTATTTTTTGTAAATCTTTTTTTCTTGGCATAAGTTAATCCAAGTCAAGGATTTGTGGTGGTTCTATAAAGAGCCCAATCTCTTTTGGAGCATAGGACCTTGCAAATACAGAAGGAATGCCACTTTAAGAGAATTTACTCGAACAAACATTTGATATAAAATTTAATCTCAATCTATATATAAAAGCAGTATATATATATCATTTGAATAATGAATATGACGAAGTATCACACAAACTGCAAGTGAGATGGGTGAAAATGATTTTCAAATGTCCACCTCCGGTTCCTCCTCTTATAGTTTCATGAGTTTTGAACGCAAAAGATGATGGCTATGTTGAATTGGAGTTTTGGTTGAAGAGAACTTCGCTCTTTGGCATCAAATAATGTGCAACCACAAGTGCAATAGGTCGAACCAAAACGACCTACGGTGAAAACAAAAAAGTTGAAAATGTTTATTTGTGGTTCTACGAAGACAGTTACTAATTTGGGTTTAATTTAGGGCAATAAATAGTTTACGAATTGGTCGGGCTTTCATCTTGTCGAGATTTAATTTAAGGCAGTAAATAGTTTATGAATTGGTCGGGCTTTCATCTTGTCGAGGTTTAATTTCAGACAGTTAATAGTTTACGAATTAATCGAGGTTTCATCTTGCATTCGAGAAGTTGAACTTCCATGGTTGATAGATTGACCTGCTATTAGAAACCCTATTCACCTTTTTCTTCCCCATAGTTCGCGCTCTTTTTCAGGTTGAGTACTAGAGAACTAAAGTAGTTCCTCTTCAATTAAATTGTGATATTTTATGTCTTGGCCTAAGCATTTTTAGTATTTAATACTTATTACACCATCATATTTTTACATATCTAATATGATCAATTAGTATTATTATTTACTCTGATTTCTTCGATTTTTTTTTTAAAAATAGGTGCTTATTTACGTTGGTTTACATGCCTCTTTGAGAGTTTTTTTTTATTTTTGAAATTTAAAAGGTACGAGGATTTGAACTCTACATTTATGATAAAATCAAGAAATAACTATTGCTAAGTTATGCCAATAATCGTCAAGATTGTTTTTCTTTATTTTGAAAAAGTTTGTTCTTTTTACTTAATTAATAGAGTTGGTTCTTTGTTCAATTTCGGTCAATCTTATTTGTCCATAAATTATAGAGAATTTATCAAAGAATCATATGTGTGCTCCATCTTTGCATTGGTGTACATTAATGAGTGTTCGTTTGTAGGACTCGGTACACGTTTCTTCTCTTTAAGTGTTCAATTCAAATTTATTAATGGATTCGATTGTTTATTGGGGTTGTATTTTTCCTGTAACTTGTGGCCATTTGAGTCAGAATTTGTGTTTGTATCTTTTTAATCTGGAATCTAATATTCCTTTTTTTCTAAAAAAAAATAGAGTTTGAAGATGCATATTACGAGGTTGCTAATCAGGGAAATATGAAAATCCAGCCATATATATATATATATATAATGAGAAGTTTAATAGGGTTAATTTCAGTAATAGCACTCATGAATAAACTATTATTAATTTTAGCATCACTTTTGTATATTTTCACAATTAGCATCGCCATGTCAGTAAAAGTGGGACCATACTGTTTTTATTTAAGTTAAAATGACAATTGTGCCCCATTTCATTTTTGAAGCCTTGAATATATTTTGAAACCTTTTTAAATTCAAATATTCAAAGTAGATAGAGGAGGAGAAAGAACGTGGGTGTGCACAGAGACCAAGAAACCCCAACGACCACCACCGTCTACCACCTTGAGCACCGACGAACCCACGGTAGCGAGAACCCACGCAATCATGCGACGAGAACCGACGAACCTTCGCCGGAGAAGTCAATGCCTAAACCTCTTCGTCGGAGAAGAACGAATCGAGAAAACCTCACCATCTTCACCAGAGAAATCAACCACGAAACATACGAGGTCAATGGCGGATTCCGAGACAAAGGTGAAAACTTTGTTGGCTTTTCTTGTTTATTTGTTTTTTTTCTTAGCTATTTATTGTTTTTTTTTTCTTTTACCAATTTTTGTCATCTTAGAAGGAAAAAAAGGCTTTGGATGAGGAGATAAAAGCAGATAATGTCAGTTATTTAAAATTTTTGATTGTCATTGTGCTCCTTATTTGGTCTGTGACTCTGCCTGATGGCTGGTCATATCATTATGACCGGTCGGTAATTGTATTATGACTGGTCGTTAATTGTATTATGACCGGTCATAAGACAGACACAGCGTACGGTCATAAGACAGACACAACGTACGGTCATGGTATTATAACCGATAGTCAAAATCCTATGACCGGCCATCAGACAGGCAGGCTCATAGTGTGACTGCCTGACTGATGAGCTTGCGGTCATAGCATTATAACCATCGGTCGTAGTACTATGACCGCACTATGTGACTGTCTTATGACCAGACATCAATCATAACACTATGAGTGAGCCTGCATGATGGGCAGTCATAGAATTATGACCGTCGGTCATAGTACTATGAACGCCCAATGGTCAGACTTTTATCGTGCGAGTCATAGTACTTTAATTAACAACTTTGTTTCCTTTTCTTGTTTTTTTTTTGTATTTATTGTTTTTTTTACCATTTTTTGTTATCTTATAAGAAAAGAAAGGCTTTAGAGGAAGAGATGTTGTTGATAGAATGTGACATTATAGTCAGACAATATCTTTACAGGAACTTCCCTGTCTTCAACAATATATCTTAAGGATAAACTTTTTCTTGTGGCCGAATCCCAAGCACATTTCTCACCAAATCTATAAGACCAATATAAGTTGTGTTGGTCGGAACCAATATCCCTTTCATTTCATAGCCGACATATCTCGAAGCACGGTCCCAATGTCTATTATACTTGATGAAGACATTCAATCCACCAGTCATTCCTAAATAATTTTAAAAACAATAACTGTTAATCAACATGCAATTACTCCTAGTCGTCATCGAGTTATTACAAATGGCCAGTCATAACATTGTGTAATGGCCGGTCATAAGGCAGGCATAGTGTGCCGGTCATAACACTATGGGTCATTTCAATCATAATATTATGACCAGACGGTCATATAACTATGACTGCCTTATGGCTGGTCATAATATTATGACTGACCATTTTGACTCATACTGTTATAATTTGGCTCATAGACAATGACTCATATAGTTATGACTGACTGGTCATAGTATTATGACCGGACATATAATACTATGAGTCATAATACTATGACTCTCAAGGTCAACTATGTCTTTGACGTGTTGGTCGTTACAATAAGTTTACATATCAGTTATAAACTATATAAAATCTCAAATTGACGAAGAATATTTTCAATTCCTATCACATTAAGTTCAACCCAGTCATTTTTTCGAGTTCTACATACTAAGTCTTACGAAAAATAAATTTAAAAAGGCAAAAACAAAAGAAAAACAAAAAAAATTGTGTACTAACCTCGATCTGGTGGACAACCGGAGTATGAGCAATGAGGGAATGCAGACGTAGGGAAGAGAGAGACCGAGTAGAGAGAGGCCAAACTTGAGAGAGAGAGAGAGAGTCAAAAATGGGGTGTAGAGAGGGAGAGTGAACGAGAGAAAGTTGAAAGTCTCTTTGAAGTGCTTTTAAATGATAAATTTGACTTAAGTGACATAAAAGTCATTTTACTTTACACTGCTGACATAACAATGCTAATTGTGAAAGTACACAAAAATAGTGCTAAAATTAATAATAATTTATTTAAAAGTATTATTGAAATTAACCCAGTTTAATAACAAGCCGTGAGTGAGGTTAGTGTAACAATAAATAATCGACGCCTTTGATTAGGAGTAAGGATACATTACCCCATTTTTTGACCGAAGGTTTACATTTACCGATTGTTTGGCGCCTCTTTTTCATAATTTATTTTCCTCTCCAATATTATAGAGAAATAGAAACTATAAACTGTAAAAAAAAAAAAAAAAAAAAAAAAAGAAAGATAAAAGGTTTGTTTTTTTGTTTTTTTGTTTTTTTATATTTTTTTCCCTTTTTTTTGAAAACATATTTTCCTCTTTAGTTTTTTTTTTTTTTTAAGAAGATATTTTCCTCTTTAGCTGCGTCAAAAAAAAAAAAAAAAAGAATCCTTTATTAAATAAAAGGAATAGAAAAGAGCCGAGAAACGGATTTAAAGCTGAGAATTAATTCTAAGGTCGAAATAAGATCTGAAAGCTTTTAGCAACCAAAAAAAAAAAGTGTGATTTGAAGGCGGTAAGATCTGAATCCTCTCATCCAAATCACCAAGCATAAGGTGTTCTTCTCTTCTCGTCTCGCGAGACAGATACTTCATATCCGTCGTAATTCTTCCGATTCGATTACACATTTTCATTTACGGTTCGGAAATTTTGCAGATCCGCCATGGATTTCATCAAGGTCTTCGATCAAACCGTCCGCGAAATGTTTGCTTCTTATTCTCGCCTCGTGATTTTTGTTTTTAGATTGAAAATCTGGTGATTTTGTTCCAAATTTCGCGAATAATTGTTTCTGCTAAGCTTAAAATCTGAATTGGATTCTCTTTTATGAACTTCGTTATCTCTTGATTGGCAGAAAGAGGGAGGTCAATTTGAAGGTCTTGAAGGTTCCCGAGATCGAACAGAAGGTAATCCACTTATCACTAGAATCTGAAAACTCAGATTTTGCTTACGGATATACGTTGTGTATATGTAATTATATATATCTGGAGCTGTTATTATTGATTAGGTATTGATTAATCAAAAATATGAAATCTATGTTCTCTGATTTTTGTCTTATACAAGGAGTTATTCTTATTTTCCGCCTAATACAAGTTCGTGGAATTACTAGGAGGAATTCGTCAGAAGCTGTATTTAGTGCATTGGAGTAGTGTTCTTCAGTTGTTTGGTTTATGATATTTTATTTAGGTGACTCTGTAATTACCGATACAGGTCCTGGATGCTACGGACAATGAACCTTGGGGTCCTCATGGCTCTGCATTGGCAGAGATTGCACAAGCCACCAAGAAATTGTATGTTAACATTTTACCTTTACCTTTAACTTTGATAATTATCGGGTTTGAATTTTTGCACTACAATAGTATTGCTGATTTTTTGTAAAAGGAAGGTTTACTGGCTTGTACTGACATTGTATCCGTTGAGTTTTGTTGTGTTTCAGTTCAGAATGTCAGATGGTTATGAATGTCTTATGGACAAGGTTAACGGAGACTGGCAAGGACTGGCGCTATGTCTATAAGGTGAGTGTGTAATTTATTACTACGGCAGTGTCCCTCCCTCATATAAATGTCAAAGTTTCAATTCACGGGTTTATGTGTCTGTATGTGAGTCTCGATTACTATATGTGTGTGTGTTCCCATGTTTTCAATTTCAAATGTCTCAAATTATTTCTCTTATAGGCATTGACTGTGATAGAGTATTTGGTGGCACATGGATCTGAACGTGCTGTTGATGACATTATTGAACATACTTTTCAAATTTCGGTAAGAATTATTTTTTTGATGTTGCAAAAGTTGCCTACATTGTTTTCTCTTACCTTCAGAATAAGGTTTATTTTGCTATTTTTATTCCACTCTCTTATTTTGGTTTGTGTTGGTGAAGTCATTATCTAGTTTTGAATATGTTGAGCCAAGTGGGAAAGATATGGGGATAAATGTTAGGAAGAAGGTAGAGAACATTGTTGCATTGTTGAATAGCAAGGATAAAATACAAGAAGTTAGAAACAAAGCTGCTGCAAACCGTGACAAGTAAGTTCATAAGGGATAATTTATATGGTTTGTATCAATTTGTATGAAATCTGTTTCTGATCTTTTTCAGATAATTGTTTGCACATTGTTGTTATAAGGTATGTAGGACTATCATCTTCTGGAATCACTTTTAAGTCAGGATCAGCTTCATATAGTAGTGGCAGCTACCAAAGTAGTGACCGCTATGGAGGTCTTAGCGGCACAAGAGATGGTGATAGATACAGGGATCAATATGAAGAGGAAAAGTCTGAAAGAGATACTTATGGTAAGTCCCGCCACACAAGTGAGAGCCAAGGAAGCACTTTGAAGAACGGTTCGACAAACTATGGAAGGTAAAGCTGTTGTTACTGATAATGATAGGTTTTGAGTTTGAAATTTAGTTTGTTTGCTCACTAATGAGATCCCAAGTATGAATCACACATTGGAAGAATTTATTTAATTAAAGGCACATGTGGCCACGAGTTCCAAGAGTTTATTTAATTAAGGGCACATTTTGTGACCACAAGTTCCGGATTCTAGTTTAGACGTCTGCCACATTTTTCAGATCTAATGTACCTACGATATGTCGCAGTGACAGTACTGAAAAGTTTATCAGTCAATGCTGCTTGTGTTTGTGCTTTATTCCATTTAAGGATCTTGATTTTATGCAAGCATATTACGTTAATAATATGTCACGTTGTTACCAAATAAATATCCACAATAAGATTTGAGTTTTGGAAAATATTTTGGGTAGTTGTAGTTTTACTTCTTATGGACAAATTTTTACGGTAGACTGCTTTCTAGTTTCTTTCCCTTCACAGAAATTAAATCGAAAACATGCTGCTTCCATAATTCTATATTTCACTAAGTTCAGAATGTTCATTCAGCAGGAAAGACCAGACATCAAAGCCAACAACCAAATCCAATGATTCTGATAAGTACAGTTCAATTCCTGCTCAAAACTCAACTCTTCCTTCAATCAGTGAGGATGATTTTGATGATTTTGATCCCCGTGGGACTTCTACCACAAGTAAGTAGCATGAGCTAAAAGTTGTAGTTTTTTAATTAAGGCAGGAAAGAAGCCTTATGTTGCTAGCATTGTCTTTATAACCATCGGTGATGGATAACATGAGCACTAATCTTATCACTACAGAGGCTGCTGGAAGCTCTAATCAGGTGGATCTTCTTGGGGGAAGCTTGATTGGAGACCTTATAGATGCTCCAAGCCCGGTTCTGTCAGGAAATCCTACTTTGAATAGCAGTTCATCAGAGGTTGATTTGTTTGCTGATGCCACTTTTGTATCGGCAGCACCTCAGGTTGAAACTAGAGCAAACTCTCAAACTGAGGTGAGACAGGTTTTCAGAAATGTAGATAGACGGCTCTTTACATCTTGCGCCCATAGCACATGTGAGGTTGTTTGGTTATCACTTGGTATTTCATGCCGTATTATTTTTGTTAGGTTGATCTGTTTGCGGATGCAACTTTTGTATCAGCACCACCTCAGGTTGAAACTAGAGCAAGTACTCAAACTAAGGTAAAAAACGAATTATAAGAAATGTAGTTATATAGATCTTTTCCTCTTTCATATAATTGCATGTAAGATTGCTGGTTGGTAATTTACTTGATCTTTGACGTGGTACGTGTTGGCTTCAATTTCTCTTCCCAATCATTTGAGCTTTTAGTATAATTTATTTGTCACATTTCTGATGATGTGAATTTTTAGTTGGCACATTTATTTGAAAGGGCAATTGTACTTTTTTTGTCTCTCATCTTTTCATGCTGGCTTCACTTGACTTATCTCATACCCATTTCTTAAATTATTAAGAATCAATAGGGAAGTAGATTGTAGTGGAAGTGTGGAACTATTGCACGCTGCATTGACCTGCAGTGTGCGCAGCAGTTAAGTGACTTTCCATTGTTCATTTGGCTTACATTTTTTTCTTTCTTAAAAATAAAAAAGGAAGATTTATGACTTTGAAATGAGCCCAGTTATTCAAGGTGAGATGTTCAAGAATAGTATTGGTTTTCTCTTTTAATCATTTAATTGTTAAATTCCCTTTTCTTTTGCACTAACAAACAGCTATGACATTTGTGCAGAACGACATTGACCTCTTTGCGTCCCAACCTCCCATTTCATCTTCAGCTTCTTCACCAGTTGACCTTTTTGCAACCCCTGACACAGTTTCGCAGCCAGAAATTAAGTCCACACATACTGCACCAATAAATGCCAACATTGTTGATCCCTTTGCAGCTGTTCCACTGAACAATTTTGATGATTCTGATCCTTTTGGTGCATTCACCTCTCATTCAAGTTCAGCGTCTTCAGAACCTTCCCAAAATTCTGTCAATAGTGGCAGTCACAATGTTTCGGGTGGAAATATTGCATCTGACTCAAAGTCTTCAGCCAAGAAGGATACGTTCCAGGTGAAGTCAGGAATTTGGGCTGATTCACTAAGCCGTGGATTGATTGATCTTAACATATCTGCTCGTAAGTATATCTATCTCAACGTACATCATCACTTTTTCTTGCGTATTTTATTCTTCTCTCACGCCGTAGCTTTTGTACTGACATAAAAAGATGTTGATGCGCATATTTGAGATTAGATAAGATACCCTAGGTTCTTATGACATTCGTATTTCCTCTGAGTGATGGGAAATTGGAGTTGCTTGATAATTGGTCTGATTCTTGGAAGTTTATGTGTATAGGATTATATCGGTCCACCTCTTTACAGATTTACTTGATAATTGATACGGACTCCTTAAAGTGGTTCCTTATTCGTATGTACTTGTCTAAAAAGAGAATTAATTTGTCTGTGTGGTGTAAGGTTATATCAAAAACTAGGAAGTAAGAGAGAGTTGGTAGTGTAGAGTGTATAGTGCGAAGGTCTCATGCTTCTTTGAGTACCGTGCATGCATCGGGGGTAAAGATTAAACTGTCTGACCAAGCATTGTGTGATCTTTGTCCGTCCGGATATAATGTTTAACGTTAGGGTCATTTCGCTGCTTTCAGAATGATAATAATGAAATACAAATCGTGATTCTCCAGAACTAATTCGTTATTATATTTCTTATGCATTTTGGATAATGCTTAGTAGTTAATGGTATCGTACTGCAGCCAAGAAAGTGTCTTTAGTAGACGTTGGCGTTGTGGGCGGATTAAGTGAGGGATTAGATGAAAAGGAGAAAGGACCTGCAACTTCATATTACATGGGGAGAGCGATGGGTGCAGGGTCGGGTCTTGGTAGGTCCGGGTTCCCTTCACATGGCACGGGAGGGGATGACTTCTTCTCAAGCCTTGGTGGTCAGCAATATCAATATGGTGGCTTTCAGAAGTAAATAAAATTATTTCTCATTTATCTTCTGCATATTCTTTGGCATATTTGGCCGCTATATTGGAGAAATCCTCCCGCGTTGTGTGCTTAGTTTCTTCCTACATGCAGTATATGATGTTTCATTTGAGTAGTATATTTAAGATGGGTGATATATAATTGTTGGACTTTTCGATACAGTGCAACGAGATATTTTGTTATGAGATGCTCCGAGTTTTCTATTTTTGCTCTTTATCAATTAGTTCTGAATGGGAAAACTTTCAGTATGTGACGATAGTAATTTTGATGCTACGAATAAAAATACTAATTGACTTAATTCGTTATTATGACAACTATTGGCTTTTTGATGCCCTGGCTGCTCTTTGTCGTTTTAAGAAACTAGGAAGTGGTCCAGATTCAAGAATGCGATGAAGCAATAGCACCTAATCTCAAAAGTTGTGTTGCGGCAATGCATAAGCAAAAAATGCTTAGAGTCGTCACCAATATTAAACACCATTACTAATAGAATGTATGCTCTACTTGTGTTCTATATGTGAATCTCACGTTGCGGGACCCACATTTGAGTAGTGCACTATTAATGTCTTATAACATTACTGCACATAAGCTATTTTGGTTTATAACCTTAAAATGGTTCTAGGAAAAAAAAAAACCCCCCTCAAATAATCATATCGTCACCATATTATTAAAGGTAAGAATAAAATTCTTTTAAAAAAAAGCACAAAACTAAAAAAATAATAATAATAATAATAAGAGGCCATTTCCCTGCAACCTGAAGAAGTTGCGAATTGCGGTTTTTCTATCCCACCGATGGTAGACGTTAATTGTCATATTTCATTGTCAGTTTTTTTTTTTTTTTGCTCTATATTTCATTGTCATGTTTGTACCCTGCCTTATTAGTGCTTAGTGGAGTAGTGGTTATTGACGTTGAAAGCCACACACGTGCTCTTTAAGTTTTTATTATTATATTATTATTTTTGTTTCTCAACTTAGTTTGTTCCCAAATTGCAATGACATCGACTACGCGGGCCTGAATATAGTAGCAAACCCTTTTATTTATTCTTCACCGCCACCCCTTGGCCCCAACGAAACATGAACAAAAGCAGCAAAATCCATTTATCAGAATTTGTAAAATCTACTGTGAAGAGTTCTATTAAAGAGATGAGAAGCACACCGACGCCTGTCTCTTAGTATATATCCAGCATCCTTCCTCTTAACATGGCTTCTGCTTTCCTCACCTGCCTTACGGGTCCTATAATAAATACCTACACATAAAAGCAACAAATAGAAATAGCCCTCGTCTGTTTATAAACCTTTCTTTTTTTTTTGGGTAAGAATTCATCTATGGAAACGAAACGTTTTTGTGCTGCATCAGAACTGTTATGAATTATTTTTGTAATGAAACAACAAAACCCAGCCTAGTATTGAGAATAGTATTGGAAACAATTTCAAGACTGTTCTCAATGCTAGATATTTAGGGGGGGGGGGGAAAGAACTCTACCGGTAGTCATTTAAATAAGGTAATAAAAAAAACGTCTAATATCAATACGTGTTTTCTACTATGAGCTTGCTTTCTAAGTCTATGGGACTAACCTTGTCAGGTGGACCCTTGGAACCTCCGATGAGAATTTCAGCACTGCAAAAATTTATGCGACTTAAGAGCTAAATACCTAGGGAGTGGTACTTCTAAAGAAAAAATGAAACAAAGAGAGAGACGCACTTGCAAGATTCTTTAATTGACAAAATGGTGGCTCCTCTTCTCCCAATAACACATCCCATCTTTCCTGGAGGAACATCGAGAACAGATAGAATTTCTTCCTCCGGAGCATTGCCGTCCATCATTAGGCTATCTACAGGGGAAAATCAGTATCACAGCTAAATTTAGTTATCACGCAAATAATAACCAACAATTAAAAACAAACCTCAAACAAAGATTTAGGTTATGTTTGGTGGGGGGAAAGAAAAATAGGAAGGAAATAAAGGCATATAACCTAAGTAAGGAAAATGAAGAGGAAGGAGAAGACCTTTCACTTGTTGTGTTGAATATTGATTCTCTAATCTCTTAAAAAACTGGGGTTGTTTGAAGCATTTGAAATCCCTCACCCAGTTCGTTCTCTCTTTTCTCTCTAGCCAAACGACCATACATCCCAAAATCCTTCCACCAATTACCCCATCTTTCTCCTGCTTCCACTTTTTCCTTCCTCCAAACAATCTCTTAAGTTAGAAAGCTACAACAACCCTCCTTTTTTTCTTTTTCTTTTTTTTTTCTTTTTGAAATGGGACAACTGAGTTCACCCATTTAGTAGTAGAACTATTTATCTACTCTTACGTTTCTCCATATCTGGATTTTCATAAGCAGCACTAGCAAATATACCTTACAGACAGCTAATCTGAGTGGAAACTTAGGCATACTATGCATATGCATTTTGTGTCAAGTATTCTATCCCATTTTAAAGGTCAAGTATACATGTGGAAGTTAAAAAACAAACAAGAATACTGTATGCAGACAAGAAGAAATCAGAAGCATTGTAAAAGTATTAAATTTAACTGCACTTTTACAAGAAATAAATTTTTGAACTTAGATGTATTTAACTAGAAAGACCTGGAACAGGAGGAAGAGATGGCCAGTCAGCATAGTCATTGTTGTTGACGCAAAAACATCTACAATAAAGAGCACCACGAACTTCAAGATACCACAATGTTCGTTGATTCAATTTGGCTGTCATCTTGTGATAGATGTAGAGAAGAAAGCGGACATCATCGGCAGCAGCGCGGACCATCAGCTCAGATAATGGCCTGTATGTCCAAAACTTGGGGTCCTGTACAGCATAAAATGAATGAATCATGACAATTGTCATTGAACAGAGAATTCTTGCAGAAAAAAGGAACACGACTTTTCAGTGAAAGCTAGACGGGAAGTCTAAACATTCGCTCAAGTCATCTACACAAAAAATGTAAGCACGTATATGAATCAACAAACCAGGGAAATAATTAACATGATGCTTACATTACATGATATGACTATAGTTAATTTCGCAGTTTACTACTGTACCATACCTTACTGTCGATGGATAATATGAAAAATAGCATACTATCTGTGATGCCTTGTTCGCAATAGAAAGAAATTATATTCATGTAAACCGTAAATAATGTACGAAAGAACATTGTCCCAACGAAATGGTTAGTGTTGAAACTAACCTGCCTTAAGAGAACACGGACTTCTTCCTTCTCAAGATAAGATATGCCTACATTTTAAATTCAAGATGAAAAACACTATGAAAGGCCAAATTTACTAGTTCAACACCATGTGAAAAAGTACTCAATAAAATATTTTAGCATGTAACAAACAGGGACATGTAATGACGATTGATGATTAAGTCACAGCACCAGTTAACATAACAAAATTTAAATCTAGAGCACAAAAATAGATTAATATTTATTTTTAAAAAAAGCCCAATAGATTCACACTTTGCCTTTAGATAGCAACTAACAACTGGAAGGTTCTGCCATCCAGAAAAGAAATAAATCTACCTTACAACCAGAAAAGCATAGATATATTAACCTAGCTAATAAAATAAAATGAATACCACAATAACGTGGATCTGCAAGGAGGCTGACAAACGATATGTAATCATCTGGAGAACGCAGTCGCCCTTCCTGCTCCTCTATCAAGGAAAAAGCAATCTGAATGCCACGAAAATGCAAAACTTTAGGCTAACTAATTAAGAACAGCGTTTATGATCAAAAATATCCCAAGAAAAAAAAAAGGTAACTGAAAGGAGGCAGAGAACAGATGCTCAGGCTGACAAATGAAACAACAAACACTCTTGGCAGGTCCACAAGAATTGATCTTAACAAATGCAATTGATAAATCAGAGCATTTCAAGCAACAAAGTCTTATGAAATCCTTTATCAAACTCAATAGAGCATGACAAATATCCCATAAACATGTAACATGCTCACCTGTGTATCCATAACATTGTTCAATTTGATGCCAAACTGGAAATACAGGGCCTAGAAAAGGAGAATAAATTCAATATTGGAACTAATATGACGAAATAACTCATGCCGAGATATGCTAGTAAAAATGAATTAGAGACCTCACTATCTCGTTTGCAATCGTGAATGACTTTTGTGATGTAACTAGACTCAAGTGCAGGCTTACATGCTTTCACAAGCATTTCTCCACCCTGAATGGCGTCGACCAAATATATAGCATCTGGAAATGCAAGCTGCCAAATAGTTTTAAAAGGACACATATGAAGAAATTATCTCAAGTGAAACAATTGTAAGACTATAATGAATTGAAATTATCGACAAAGCTTCTTAATAACGCTGAACACAAAGAGCATGAAAGTAAAATGTTGGGCTTGTTTGTTTCTGTTTCCATTTCCATTTTTCACGTTTTTTGAAGCAAAAAATTGAAAACGGGTGTTAAAAACGCGTTTGGTGTAAGTTTTTTTAAAAAACAAAAACAAAAACGTTTTTGTCGTTTTGTGGAAATCAGAAAACGAAAAAAAGCTGTTTTCATTTTCTCCATTTTCGTTTTCTTTTCCTTTTCTCTCCCGTTTTCTCTTCAGCCTCCCTCGTCTGAGTTTTTTTTTTCTGCTTCAGCCATTCTTCAGCCTTCTTGCCGGCCGAGCTGCTCCGTTCTTCTCGCCGGATTCGTTTTCTCCGGTTTCCTTCTCGCCTGACTTGCGCTGTTGGGGCTCCTCCGGTTTCCTCCGTTCTTCCCGTTCTCGTCTCGGCCTCTTCTCACCGAGGTATGGCTCTTCTCACCGAGTTATTCGTTTTCTGATTTGGTTTCCTTCCCGCCTGAGTTGGTTGAGTTTTTTTAGCTGATTTTGGAGTTTTTTTAGCTGATTTGGTTGTTTTTTTTATAAGTTTTTTTGACAATGATTTTGACTTGATATACTCAACGAAATCGGTTGATTTTCGTTTGATTTGGTTAGTATTTTGTCTAATTTTTTGATTATCTGAGTTGCTGAATTTTTTTCCGTTTTTTTTTTTTCCCTGGGAGGCCCCCGTTGGGGCTGAATCAGCCCCTGGGGGCCTCCTATTGGGGCTGACCTGGGAGGCCCCAATGGGGGCTGATAATCAGCCCCAATGATCAGCCCCCTGATGGGGGCTGATTATCAGCCCCCATGGGTGCTGATTATCAGTCCTGATGGGGGCTGATAATCAATCCTGATGGGGGGCTGATCCCATCAACCCTGATGAGGGCTGATCCCATTAGCCCTGATGGGGGCTGATCCCATTAGCCCTGATGGGGGCTGATTATCAGCCCTGATGGGGGCTGATTATCAGCCCCCATCAGCCCCAACGGGGGCCTCCCAGGGGCTGATTCAGCCCTAATGGGAGGCCCCCATTGGCGCTGTATCAGCCCCTACGTGTGTGTTCGTGTGTGTGTATATACTTTAGAAATTAACATTTATTTTAATGATGAAAGTATTATTTTAGATGTGTGATAAGGACGATAATACGAAATGGCCGACCGCAATTGAGGATTTTTATGTAGAACTGATATACGAAGAGTCAAAGATTGGGATGCAAACATCTACTATGGACAAAAAAACGTGGATGAAAATTGCTAATGAAATAGCACTTAAGTTTGGTAAGCATTTCACATCAGACCAGCTTAAAGCAAAGTGGAATAGGCTTAGACGTAGCACGAGAGAGTTTAAGACATTAATTGAAACAACAGGGTTTGGTTGAGATTCTGAGGCTAACACTGTCACAGCTGAAAAAGAAGTATGGGATTCATATGTAGCGGTAACTTTTGAGCATTAACATCTTATGTTATATGAAAGAGTTGAATTAGTTTTTGGATTGCACATGAGTATTTACTCTTGTTTTCTTTATAATCTCAGAAACATCCTGAGGCGAAGAAATTCAAGAAAGGGGGTTTGCAGAACTTTGCCCAATTTTCACAGATTTTTTTTGCGACTATTGCTACTGGACAGGGGTTAATGAATGCACATACTGCCGTTAATGTTTTGAATGCGGCGAAAAGGGCTGCCACACAACCGGAAGTGGAGGAGGAGGGTACCTGGGACTCGGATGAAGTCTGGGGTGCAGAAGACAATAGAAACAGACGGTCTCAGGGTCCTACTACTCAATCCAAGAAGAAGAGCAAGAACAATACTGCAGTTGACGCGGCTATAGAGGCTTTGGCAAAGAGTGCTACCCTACGTAGTGAGACATCTGTTCAAAAGGTTGATTTGTTTCAGCAATATTTAGCTGATAGGCAAGCCCGTACTATGGCATTAGCCGAGGCTCAGAAAGAGGATCCAACTACAAGTATTGAAACCTGTATGGATTTGCTGTATGGATATAGGGAGTATTTAGACGATAATGCGTATACTAAGGCAGCGCACCAGTTGGCGGTTGACATTTCCCTTAAGAGAATGTTTGTGAAAATGCTCGCTTGTCGTCATCTTTCATGAATTCGAGGCCTGTAGTTTAAATGATTATTGTGTTGTTTTCTTTATTTATTTCCTCTCGGACGTATGTTTTTTTTTTAAGTATTGTTGAGCATGTACAACAGATTTTCCTCTTAGACTTGTGTTTGTTAGACTTTGTTATTTGTTTTTAGTCGGATTGAATTACATTAGAGTTCTTCGTTTGATTAGTTAATGTTATATGGATGTTTGATTAGTTCCAGTCTTGGTTTATTTTTTAGGTTAATATGGATTTAGATAGTGAGAATGATGCCAGAGCTGTTGACTTTCTCCAGTCATCAGATGATGATGAACAACCACAACATTATATCCAATTATTGATGTCGATTGGAAACAGACGAACTAGGCAATCTCGGCGTAATACTGCGTTAACAGGACGAGAATATGTTTTAGAACAATTACATGGACATCCTGAAAATTTGTTTGAAATGTGTTGTATGCATCGAGACACGTTCGAAGCAATTGTTCAGTTAATTCGAGGCCGCAATCTACTGCCTTCTTCAAGTATTTCAACAGAAGAATCTCTAATGATGTTCTTAAGAACGGTTGCTCACTCAGATCGCAATAGAGAGATACAAGATAGATTTTTTCGTTATGGAGAGACAGTACACCGGCATTTTGATAATATGCTTACCGCATTGTCTGCGTTAGCACCTCAAGTTATAAAACTACCAAATATGAACATTGTCCCCCCAGAGATTCAACACAACCCTAAGTACTGGCCATTGTTTAAAGTACAATCTGACTCTGTTCATATACTACTAATATGATAAATAATTTTAAATTAATTGTAATTCACGCCTTATGTATTTTAATAGGATTGTATTGGTGCAATAGTCGGTATACACATGATGGTTGTCCCACCTGCACATCAACAGACAGTCTACAGAGGAAGAAGACATTCGTGCACTCAAAATGTAATGGCGGCGTGTAGTTTTGATATGCTATTCACTTATGTCAATACTGCATGGGAAGGATCAGCTGCTGATTTCAAAGTGTTAACTGAGACTATAAGAGATCCAGATGACCCATTCTTGGCGCCACCCCCCCAAAATATTACGTTGTGGATTCCGGTTACAGCAACACGCAAGGCCTTTTGGCACTATTTCGTGGTCAGATGTACCATATTCAACAGTTTATAAATGGTGGTCAACCAACGGGACCACAAGAGTTATTCAATTATTATCACTCTTCACTGTGTAATTGCATAGAGAGGTACTTTGGGGTCTAGAAAGCAATATTTAAAATTCTTAGGCATATGACCAATTATTGGATGCCAAGACAAAATGTTATACCAATAGCTTGTTGTGTGATCCACAATTTAATTAAAACGCACGCGCGAGATGATCCTCTATTTATACAATATAAGGTCGATTTGCCCGTAGAAGATATTGAGGGAGAACAAGAAGGGCAACAGGAACAACAACATGGTATGGATGCACAAGAAGCAGAAACATCTGAAATGGGCGGTCGGCAACAACGTAATTACATGGTTAATTTTAAGGATCGTCTAGCTAATCAAATGTGGAATTCGTATAAGCGACAATAATTTAAGCTAATATTGTAATTTTCATATTTTATTAATTATTAGTGTTTTTATTTGTGATTCAATTATTATTTATTTAATATATTAAATACTATTACATGTTTTCAAAAATGAAACCACTAAACGCAGTTTCAGTTTTTTTTAAAACTGAAATCAATCTCTAAATAAAACTACCAAACGCATTTTCAGAAATAATTCAAAAATAAAAATGAAAACGTTTTCATTTTCATTTTCGTGCAGAAAATAAAAACGTTTTGGAACCAATTCCAAACGCACCCGTTGTTTACCTGCATTATACAGAGTGTTCCATGGCGACACAGATCAACTCCCTCGCAATCGAAACCAATGACCAACTGCCTTTCAGATGACGGGTGCAGAAACTCAGGGGGAAGTTGAGAGGCATGAGTAACGATGTGAACAGGAACTTCGGATAAATGAGCTTCATGTTTTAGGGGCGTCTCATCTGTAATACACCAGGAGGGTAAAAAAAAAAAGGACTTTTAATTTATGAAACTTGACCATCCTGGAAAAGAGAAAAGAACATGAAATTCGTATCCAGCCAAATCATGAAAGTTACATATGTTAATTAACATTTAGAACCAACAAAAATAGTACACAAATCGACTTGCAAACCAATATATTTATTATCTCTAGTTCGTTTTTACTCGTCCTAAGCCAACTGATGTAATCAAAGGCATAATCAAAAATAGTTTATTAGAAAGGGAAGATAGTGAAATTTGAAGAAAATACAAGCATATAATTTCAAACCAAAAACCAGCCCGAAGGGTAAATTATGTGCAGATGCAGATAGAGAGAGCGCAAACGAGGAATAGCTGTAAACAATCTGCGAGAGATATCGACGGAAATTGAACAATAACCAATCATTCGACCGTCAATCTTCCAGTTGATTGCCGTAATAGAGGAACAATCACAAGTTGTTTAATTCGAAAGTGATAAGAATAGTAAACATAGGTGAAATTTTGATGAAAGACGGGCAATCCCAACTTCAATTCAAAAACCAGCACAAAGCGTAAATTCTATGTGTGTGTGTGTGTGTGTGAGAGAGAGAGAGAGAGAGGAGTAGCAATACATAGTATAAGAAGAAAATCTACTGAAATTGAGCAAGAGAAAGTAATTCGATCGTCAATTATCCATTTGATTGTCGAGAAACTTAGGATTTGAAACGGAAAGGGGAAATCCGAATTGACAATCCGAAATACGTTTTGCTTTTGTTCAGTTAGTAACAATATTCCTCGGAGACTAAACCAGACAGTAAGCGATCCGATCTCTCAGGTTAGAACAAACAAAAAGAACTCTTCCATGACTCGAAGACATGTTCTCGACAGCCAAACAGACCAAACCATAGGCGTTTCCGAACCAAAAAGGCTACGAAAACGACGTTCCGAAGAAACCGAATCAACGAAATGGTAATTGGATTCTAAACAACAGAAAACTTGAGATTGTGCAAGAAAAATCTGGAATTGGATCGAAGGTAAAGAAGAGAAAGAAAGAGAAATACCAGAGAGCGAGGGGAGAGGAATGTGCGTCTGATAAGGAGAAGGTACAGAGGCCATGCGATCGGGGCATCCAAACAAATCAGAGCTGCTTCGTCAAACCTTCGGGTCATTATATCCATTTCTACTTTCCTCAAGAGGACATGGGCATCTATCGCATGTGGAAGGCAACACGGCATAACTATCTTATTTCTTCTTTTTTTTTTTCCATTGCATTCCTTAAAAATAATAATAATAAACTTTCCACGTCATTCCTATGCTAAGTAACCTGAAAGGATACTTATCATTTCAATATTTTGTAATTTTCTGATTTGTTATATTGATATTCCTCTATTTCTATAATTACATTGTGTATCTTCTAATTTTAAAATAGGTCATCTAAATATTTTAAGGCTTTTTTTAGACAAGTGAAGGATAAATTCAATTTCGTATCGTTTGTTATAACAAAACATATCATCAGTATCATGCATTTTAAGAATAAATCTGTTATCCCCTCTTAATTGTCTCAATTGCTCTCTCTCCAATCACAATTTGCCACATCCATCTAAAATAACAGAGTTAAATGTTAACGTTTTTCTGGTTCTTCTCTCTTAAAAAAAATAAAACCTTTAAAAAAAACTCCTCTTGGCTCTTTTGTCCTTTCCCTTTATATTTTATAAAGACTAAGTAGTTGTTTAGTTAGGGGATTCGTACCCTGATTCGAATCATGATTCGTGATTCGCTACAATATTTATAAAAATACACGTAAATTAAAAATAATTTTAACCTCATAATTTTAATTCATAAACCAAACGTCTCCTATCTCTCTACATCTCTATCAAAAAGTCTAATCGATCTTTATAAACTTGGTTTTCTGCTACAAAAGCCAGAAGTCTAATATCTTTATAAACTTGGTTTTTCTGCTACAAAAGCATCGGTGTTGCCGTTGCAATAAATTTTGCTCTCCCTGTATTGATTTCACGTTTACCTTTAAAGAGAAAAATTTTATTTGGGTTTGTATTTGAAAATAAGATGAAGCTGTTTTGATCCTCAACAGTCAACAACTATATGACGAAATATAAACATTAGAAAGAAAAAAGAAAAAACCACTGCTTTTTTTTCCAAAAAAAAAAAAAGAAAAACTACTATATTTTCTTTTTTAGAAAAACCAACCCCTCTGTATTTTTGGATGACAAAATTAGAAAGAAGACCATCTGGTCCCTCGCATTGTAAAGATCCAAATGACGAAAGTCCAGAATTGACGTGACCAAAAAAAAAAAAAAAAAAAAAAAAAAAAAAACTGATGGAGCAACCTTGAAGGATGGACACGGAAAGGCATCTCCAATATACAGATCAGATTCAAGGAAATGGCTGGTCATTTCGGATGAAAAGAGAACGAAAGTTACAGTGGGAATAGAGAAAGAGAGTCAATAAGAAAAGGTGCGATTTTATTCTAAAATAATTTTATTTTTTATATAAAAATAAAAATAAAAACGTTTTTAATCTTAAATAAAAATTATTTTTAAAAATACGTTTAGTAATTTTATTAAAAGATTATTTTTAATGTAAAAAAATTCATTAATGTCTCTTTTTTCTCTCTCTACTCGAGAGAGGAGAAAACAAAAATAAAAAATAAAAAACGACTAAACTAAAAATCGTTTTCATTTCTGTTTTTTGTCTTTATTGCGCCAAATGTTGTTTTAAAAACGTTTTCATTTTTCTTTCTCAAAAAATGTGAAAAATAAAAACAAGATCAATTCTAAACACGGCCATTATTTAACTCTGTTAATTACCTTTTTAATTGCTAATTTTTTTTAAATTGAGCTTAGATGATGTAGCAGATTGGATTGAGGGGACAACAATAGGGTAGCTATGAGAAGACAACAGATCTAAACTCGTACTTTAATAATATTAAAATTGTATCTTAACATTTTTTCAATATCTTAAGACCAATTTTTAATTTGTACAAAATTCAAACCGCTATTTTCATTAATTAAATAGAAACTAATAACTTTAAAATTATTTTTTAAAAACATTATATTTAATTATAACTTTTTATATTTAAAATGTTTCAAAGTATATTTCTTAAAAAACTAACAATTTGTTGTTAATTAATGAGAAGGATATAATAGACATTTTGAGCCATAAAAATCGGTCTTAAGGCACTGAAAGAAAGTTTCTTTAAAATTAGAAGTATCATTTTAATATTATTAAAAATATAAAGTATTAGCGAGATGCTTTATTAGAGGGTACCGAAATAATTTTAATCATAAAATAAATGAAAAAAGAAACAAATAGTCAAATAGAGTGACTTAAAGAATGAAACCAAATATGTGATCCATTGCATACGAACAAATTGTAAATATTATTGTTTGAGAAATTTTAAGAATAGGAAATAAAATAATTTTAATTGTGTATTTAAATAATTTTAAAAACACTAATTGTGGCATGCGCGATGAACGTAGTGAGTTGTAATTGATATTTTTACAATGTATAATATGAACAACAATATGCAAACTGTACACTAAAATAATTTTAGATATTAAAAAATAGTGTACATTAAATGGTAATAGGCATATACTTACGAAAACTGTACACTTGACTTTATTATAAGATGTCGAGTTTAAATCGCTCACACACGAGCTTTTAAAAGTTGTTTTAAACCTTCAAAGAGTTAGTTTGGCATTGCTATGCTGTTAAAAATTTATGTTGTTGTTGTGTTGTTAGTCAGATGTTACTGTGACTAGAAATATGTAGGTGTTTGCTATGACTAGAAACATGAGTTGATTGGGAATTAAGTTTCATTATTAGGGTCCTTTTAATAAATTTAGACAAGGACAGCAGAAGCTCTAAAAATAATGTCAAATGGGTCCAAAATCTATTATATTTAAAATACAGTAATCTTGATAAATACCATTTGAAAGTGCACTGGTCAGAATTTTTACCATTTACTCTTGATTCATAACATTTTTAGTTAAATAATTACACTAACAAAATGATATTTATTAAAAGTAAAGGGTAAAAGTTCAGATTCATGCACTCTAAAGAGTAAATTCTCCATTTTTTCTTTAAAATAAGTATTAAAATAGAAAAATATCAGAAATGTAATTTGTTATAAGTATTGTTAAATATAGTAAACATTTTTTATGTTTCTAAATTGTCGTGTTGGGTTGTTTTAATTGCTACTTTAAATATATATATATATAATAATAGGTTAAGTCAAAAGCATACATTTAATCATAAAAATACATGATATATTTTAAATTGTAACGTGACAAAGTAAAATAAATAAATAAATGAGTTGAGATTTAAAAAGAAATAAAATAAAATAATATATATAAGGTAATTGGTATAGATAATTCCTAACCTCTTTAGTATGTGACAGTTTAGTTCTTATTCTTTTAATTTTAACAGAACAATCCTTAAACTCTCAAAACATTGGTAATAAAGTCCTTTCCGTCAAAATCCTTTAAATTTTTAACAGACTTTTTCACGTGAGCCGTGTGTGCTCTCTTCTCTAGTGAGAAGACCAAAACACCCTCAAAAGAAAAAAAATTTAAAAGAACTCAAACCTAGAAAGAAAAACAAAACCAAAATAAAACCAAACTCTTCCATCGTCAACATTGCTGGTAACCATTACTGTCCATCTACCACACTTCCACCATAAAACCAAAATCACAACAGCATAAACCAAACAAAATTATAGAATCCAAACCAAATAGCAAGAAAATCATAAAAACCCAAATAAAATCTCATCAAAGAAAAGGGTTGTTGCAGATCATTGCACAAAGTTGCATAGTTAGAAATCCTCCTCACACCCCTTCCCACCACCTCCCGTGCACAGATTGAGCCCCTACGCCCCCCTCCGTAGCAAGATCGTCACCCTACTCTCGCCGTGGTGAGATCACATCCCTCCTTCGTCCCTTGTCGTCATTCAGATTGGAGTTCCCTTCCCTTGCCATCGTGAGATTGAGCCCACTCTTCCCCCGTCAACACTAGATTGAAGCCTCCTCATCCCCGTCGTCGCGAAGCAAGAGCCACATGTGACTCCTTCATATCGGAGTTCCTTTCCCTTGTCGCCATGAGATTGAGCCAGCCCTTCTCCGTCAATACTAGATTGAAGCCCCCTCGTCCCCGCCATCGCGAAGCAAGAGCCACCTGTCACTCTTTCGGAGTTCCTTCTCTGTCTCCCCAAGCCGCTGCCGTCGCCCATATCTCTGAAAACCCAGCGTCGCTGTCCAGATCTTTACGAATCGGCAAGCCGCGCTATTGCCCGGATCTTCGCAAACCACGAATGTCGCTGCCAAGACTTCGTGAACCCAAGGCCGTTACCCAGAATTTGCGAACTTAGAACACGCCGCCGCCTAGAGTTTGCAAACCCAACGCCGGCGGTCTCCCCTCTATCTCTCTCCCTCTCGCTAGCTAATTCTAAAGTTTTCTAGAGAATATCAGCCCAAATTGAATAAACTTGTGATTTTACGAAAATACCCCTTATAATCGGGGCACATGGGGTCAGATAGGTTTTAATATGGATAATTTGACGGATCTTGACAAAAAAGATTTAATTGTAACTATTTAATGACATCGGTGATCGTTTTATCAAAATTAAAAGAATATGAATTAAATTGTCACCTATTAAAGAAGTTTGAGACCGTCTGTACCAATTACCATATATATATATATGAGTTAAAACTTTAAAATAAAAAAATAAAGCAATTAAAACTCATTGTTTTGGACTATCATAAGATGAATAGTCTTATATCGACTCATTTGTATATTTAGGATTTATGATTAGGATCTAAGATTTGCAATTTAACATGTATAGAAAACAAAAGAAAGAAATTAAAATTTTAAAATAAAAAAGAAAAGAAGCACCAGAAAGAAGGCTACAGAAGAAAAAATAAAAAAAAAAAGCAAAGAAAGAGGGGAAGAAAAGTGTTGGGAAAATGGCTTGTTAAGCCATTTTAAAGGCCCATATTTGAATGGGGCCCGATAGATTTTAGGGACGGGTCTCGATGGATTTACGTTCTCCGTCACAAGGAGATTGAAATCGGATATTCATACGCTCAAAATGGATATCGGGTGAATGAGAAATTTATGCTTTAAGAATGTAACTTGAAATGGTTAAGT